ATCATCATCATCATCATCATCATCAAAAAACAACAGTGTACATAGCAAACGAGATAACTATGCTGGGTTTCCTATCACAAATCACTAGTCGAACACTTCCCAAGCGTTTAGGACTGCGTGATGTATTCGCGGATTATGCGAGCAGATCCCAGTAAGGTGGCCTTCTGCAGCTGACCAATGGTGATTTTGTCAGCTCCAATTGTTTTTAAGTGCTTGCCTAGGTCTTAGACACAGCACCCAGTGTACTGAGTACCACTGGAACCACCTGCACTGGTTTATGCCAGAGTCTCTGCAGTTCGATTCTCAAGTCCTGATATCTGGTGACTTTTTCAAGTTGTTTCTCATCGATTCTGCTGTCACCAGGTAAGGCAATGTCAATGATCCACACTTTTTTGTTCTTCACAATCGTGATATCTGGGGTATTGTGTTCCAAAACTTTGTCAGTCTGTATTCGGAAGTCCCACAGTAGTTTTGCATGCTCATTTTCAACCACTTTTTCAGGCTTATGATCCCACCAGTTCTTTGCTAAAGGCAGATGGTAGTTGTGACACAAATTCCAGTGGAAGATCTGAGCGACTGTGTTGTGACGTTGTTTGTAGTCAGTCTGAGCAATTGTCTTACAACAGCTCAGTATGTGATCGATGTTTTCATCCACATCTTTGCAGAGTCTGCATTTGAGGTCATCAGCAGATTTTTCTATTCTGGCTTTGATTGCATTCGTTCTGATGGCTTGTTCTTGGGCTGCAAGAATCAGGCCTTCTGTCTCTTTCTTCAGTGTTCCATTGGTCAGCCATATCTGGAATTATTATTATTGTTATTATTGTTGTTTCAGTTTAACTTCCTTTTCGGGGGTGGGGGGGGGGGTTGCATTGGGACCTGTTCTATGTCAGGAGCTGAGATATGCAGTTGGGTGTCTGAAACTTAATACATAAATAATTGGATATCTATTATGACAATAATCAATACTGTCTCATCTGTAGCACCTTCCTCATTACCCATTCTTTATAAGTGTTTTCTTCTAAGAACAAAATATGTCATTGGGTCAGTAGGTAAAGGAGTCTAACTGGATTTTTGTCATTTAAACCTGAATTCAAAGTCAACCTTGGCTGAATATGGTTGACTAGTCTCTAGTGCAGGGGTCTTCAAACTTGACAGCTTTAAGACTTATGGACTTCAACTCATAGAATTCCCCAATTAGCATAGCTGGCTGAGGAATTCTGGGAGTTGAAGTCCCAAGTCTTAAACTTGCCAAGTTTGAAGGCCTTTGCTCTAGCTCAATGCACTATAGTCAGAACTACTGCCAACTGAACCAAACTATAAGCTAAACGTATTACCTGGTTCAATATAGCAAAGTAAACCAGAAAACACGGTTAATTTGTTAAGCCAGGTTAAGTTACTTTGCATCAACAAATTGTGCTAACACAGCCATGCAGTTAATGGATTAAACATGTATTAGGCATAGTTGGTTTCAAGATCTGGCTGCAGTTACCCTAAGGATATTTCTCATATCAATTAAACTCCCCATTTGTAAAGAGCTAGTAGAATTGCAGTCATGTCAATTGTATTGCTGTTGGCTGAAAAAACTGGCTATTTAGCACCTCAGGACTGTGCTGTGGTATTCTTGATATTGTAATGCATTACAAGAGCTGGATAGCTGTAACAAATAATTGAGCAAAACAAATCCAAAAATTCCTTACTGAGAAAATGTAGGTCCTGAGAATTGCATGTTTTAGCATTTAAAATGGTAAGTGGTTTTACTGGGAGTTTTTTTTATTTTCAAGATTATCTTAAGCCTAAACAATTACCGTATTTATCGGCGTATAACACGCACAGGCGTATAACACGCATCTTCATTTTAAGAGGGAAATTTCAGGAAAAAAAATTAAAAAAAATTCTGCCTGCCTGCCTTAGTTTCTGGTTGTTTGGGAGCAGCTTCGGCTGAGAATAATAACTATTCGCCTCTTTTACTCAGCCGAAGCTGTTCCGATTCAACCATTAACGAAGGCAGGCAGGCAGGCAGAACGGAGCACTGCGGGCGGGCGGGCGGGCGGGGTGGGGGAGAAACGGGCGCTTCAGGGAAGCCCCCCCCCCCCCGCTTCTTTGAAGCAGTTTCTTCCTGTGCTGGTGGAGGAGCGAGAGAGCGACTGAGAGAGCTGACCCAGAGAGAAGGACAGGCTTCGGTTGCTTCCTCCCTCCCCTTCTTTCATTTGTGTCCTTGATCCCCGATCCCAGCAGCATTCACCGAAGGCTTCTTAACATTATATCGGCGTATAACACGCATACATCATTTGCCCCCTATTTTCAGGGGGAAAAAAGTGCGTGTTATACGCCGATAAATACGGTATGTAATAATTGCTTGAAATGGAACTCGGATATTCTGTTCACGTTACACAGAAGCCCCAGGCATCTATTTGATATTCTCATGGCATTGCCAACAGATAAAATTTGAGTTTCCAATCCACAACCATTAATCTTACAGAAAAGGGGATCATAGAATCCCATTGAGGGAACAAAATGATCAAAAGCTGAATTTTCATGTGCAAAGTACTAACTTTAAAGTGCATAGTATAACCTTAAGTCATGTTTTATTGCCTTTGAGTCCATGTTGGCTCTTGGCCATACACTGTCTAATCCAGGTAGTTTTCTTACTGATGTTTTTGGGTCATTGTCTAGGGCTGAGTGCATGTGACTGGCATATAGTCATCCAGCTAGCTTTGTTCATGTGATGAGAGTAGAACTCACTTTTCCTGGTTTCTGGCCTCTAGCCTTAACTCCTATAGCACAACAAACTGACTAAGAGTCAGAAATGTATAAAAGATTAACACACCAACTTCTGATTACACTGACAGTTAACACTAAATAAATCTGATTTGAGCAAAGTATAGATTTATTTTTCGAAGTCTTACTACAAAACTATAGAAGCAAAGGGTCAGAAGTAGTATGCAAGTAATAACTAAAGTATTATCTTATGCCTTAATGCACTCCACTCCATGAAAATCCACAACCAATGCTTAGTTTATTTTAAAATGTGTATGTCAACCTTTGGAACATAGGCAACAGTTCAGCCAGATATTTTAAAAGTTGTAAATATGAAGCAACAATGTTGCTATCTTTAGAAAAGCAAACTATCATGTGAAATGTTTGTTAAATAGTGTCATAGTACTAAAACAAATATTTCCCCCGTAATTCAAATTTCCTGTGTCTGTTTGCTCAGATAATCCAGTTCCTTCCTGTGCACAAACTCAGCATTACAATTACTTTTCCAAATTGGGCTCAGACTATTGTAGCAGGAATGCTTTACAGCAAAGGGCCAATTTTTGATACTGCAATGCAGATTTTTTTAAAAAAGCACATTTATCAGGATGTCAGTTTTAACTCCAGGATTTTTTAAAAACTGGAACTACTTTTCATACAATCCTGTTTTTCAACTCAGTCTGCAGAGCTATGAGACTAGAGACTACCTATCCTGGATTCTCCCTTCAGTTCAGTGGAGAACCAACTGTTCCATTAACAGATTATTAAAATAGAATTTGAAATATGCATGTAAAATAGCCTGAAATTTCAGTCTCACCAAATATGTAAAAGCAGAGGAAATTAGAAAAAGAAATGTTCTCAATATCATCAAATCAGGATGGTTTTGATCATCCATGTCCATAATCTTATTTTCTACAATTTCTATATTAGGTTTGTAGTGGGACTAAGAGTTGGTGTGTGTGAGTGTGCGATGACACCATTCCCTTTCAGGCACGGAACATTTTACAACATGCAAAAAAAGACATTTAAGGACTTCAACATTTGCACATCTGGAAACATCAGCATATAAAAGTACAGTAGAGACATTCAAAATTCTAACTTCCCAACAAACTTTTACTATATTCAAAAACACATTGAAAATGAAAGACATGTACTCCCTGCTTAGCGATGAACCATCAGTTAAGTATTCTATTTATTTTCATATATGCTCTGCTTCCCTCATTTACTAATCTTTATCACATTCATAAAACTACCTTTATAAATACTTCTATCAATCATATGAAGAAAATTTATGTTTAAACAATGGATTGGATACAAGCTTTCTAAGCAAATATTCACTAAACAGTCAATATGCTTATTCATTCTTGGGTCTATCGGTGCATAAAGTACAGTATATAACAAGGGACACATATTTGTTTAACTTTAAATAACTTTATTTTAACATTTCATAAGACTGAAGGTTTTTGTATAAATACCATCAGGCAATGTACCAACTGTAACAAAGCATAAACATACATTCAAATCTTTCTATGTTAAATATACAGAGGGAGACAAACTATTCATTGCATAACCATTTCATTAAAACTCAAGAATTTACATGAACTGATTATATTTAAATCGTTCAGTAAAATACTGATTTTAAGGCATTGTTATTTCTACATTATATATTGAGTGATATATAATGCATGAAGACTGAGTTGGCAACAGCTGGGCCCAGATGAAACTCCTTCATTGTATGTTACATAATATGTGAAACTGCCCCACTTAAAACCCATTAAATACATACAGTTTTGACTTAAAACTATCTTCTCCCAATTTAGTGTTCTTTGTGTGTGTCGAGATCAACCTTGTGCAAAAGGTTATTATGGAACATTCCAAACACAAAATGGACCTTTCCAGTTATTGGAACTGCAGACAGCATGTTTCGGTTTGGAAAATTCAGCACACTCCTGAGAGTGCAATTCCTGTAATTTTCAACAATGACTAACAACAATGTTATCTTATTGGAACTTATATTATTAAGGATTCTAACTTTGGATTTTCTCAATCTGCTCTAAATTGGTCCAGCACAAGTTTTGGTGGGGTTTTTTCTGTTTTTCTACCTGCCATTTTATTAGTAGGCATGTTTAAAATATAATTCCAGTCTATTTCACAAATGTATTCCTAGGGAACATAGTGTTAAATTAGTTACTTGATATTCTGGAATCAGAAACACAATACAAATTCCTGCATGCCTTTTCATAAAAGCATATTGCATTATGTCACAACCAGCAGAGGGAAATAGCCAGACTTTAAAACACCCTCCAATTTTTTTTCCTTCTACATATAAAATATGTATTGTTACACATTTCAGTTCCAGCAATTTCACAATATCGTACTGCCCTCAATATGCCATTCTTTTCTGTGGAAAAGTCCAAAGTGTTTCTACCAAACAAATGAGGCAAAAATAAACCTTTTATAGGTTCTCAGAAGTAGAACTATACTGCATAGGAAGAGGCAGACATATCTATTCAACACATTTTACACTCAGTTTATGGCAACAACAGAGTATGATCTCCTCCTCCCTCAGAATCTGACATTCAAATGTATTACTCATTTCACACCAAACCTTAAAATATGTAATTAGGTTATGAATGCATTGATAACATAAGTCATACAAACAACACCTCTTTTCAAAACATGAGTACCGTAGCCATCTATTCTGCTCTTTGGTGATTGCCAGATTATATAGTGGCAAATACACTGGTTAGTAAATGTAGCTGACAAACTTATATTGTAATCCAGCGTGGTGACTAAGTATAATAAAAGGACTGAAGAACTGTTCAGTGCCAAACAGATTCTTCATTAAAGTGCATAGGATGATGATAAACAACAGCTATAGCAAATAATTAAGCTAATTCTTCAATGTCTCCAAACGATCCTTGGATTGCTATAGGGACCTACATTTAATCAGCTAGCTGTGATTGCTAACCATTTTGAATCAGTAGATTTGAGTGGCTAGAACATAAACATGCATAGACTTGTGTAATTCTGCAAAGTACCTTGCTAATCTCTACACGTAGTTTCTACCTTCTAAAACAAAATTTTAAAAGTTTAAAATAGATTAATCTGTAATAAAACAACAATGGACTTGTTGTAAATCATAAAAAGGAAGATGCCCAGTTCAGAGTAAGTTTTGAAATACGCATAGAAAATGTGGTTTTCCCACTACATCCAGAATAAAATATTACTAGATCTGGAGTATGCATTCTTTTTTTCAAGGCACATCTCACCCATGTATCCATTGTTCTGCTTTAGAATTAAAAACCTCTGGAAAGTTAATTCCATTTAAAAAGTTCTGAAGATTTAAAAGTTCTGTATTTATTTTTCCCACTTTACCACATATTATTTTCACAGGAAAATGGAAGTTTGATTTCTTTTATATAAACTTTGCATGAACTGTATGCTGAAAATGTGAAAGAAAGTCTTTATCAGAAATAATATAGGCTAGCTATTGTGGAAAAATAATGTAGATCTCATATGTAATAGATCAGGCTACATTTCTCTACCTCTGGGGAAAGAGAAGTTAACTGTTGGAAAGTCTGACAATTCAAAACCTTTACATCAGAAACACAAGACTACCAGCATAACACCCTGGCCAAGCTCAAACCAAGCTTCCAGATTTCCAAAACAAATGCCTCAATGTAAAAAAATTGCTGCATGCTGACTCCCTCACATCAATACTGTCCTGTTTAGTTTTCTTGATCAAATAAAATGGAATTTAAGTATCAATGAATATTCTCAGATTTGACCAATTTATAAGCTATTCAAGTTTGTTCATTTCAAACATAGGATATTCTTAAAGAGAAAGTAAAATTTGAGTTAACTGACAATATTGCATATACAGCTCTGGGCATATAAAAAAAATTACAAGAGTTTACATGGCTCAGCAATTCCTGAAAAGGAGCAAAGTTTAACCCAAAATTTCACTGCATAGAAAAGGGGGAAAGTGTTCCAAGAATTGCAGATACATTTGCCATGTCATCTGATGAAAAAGAATGCCTTTTCTTCACCTTAACAAAAATTATCTAAAAGATTTGTAACTGCTTGCTTATCAGTTACGGATTCTGAAAGGGTACAATTTTATCTGAGATAATTTTCACCCATTATCACCATCACAAGCAATTATATCTCTGAAGAATACAGAATCTGGAACTACTTAAGAAAGAGACTTCTGGAACCCCAAAACTGACCCTTCCTGACAAAAGTAATTGTACTAGCCTATGTAGATTGTTATTCTAAAAGGACTTAAAATACACCAATTTTCTTAGATTTTCTGAAAAGAACTTTGATAGAAGTATTTTTGTGTGGGTGTTCGCAGATAGGAAGACATTCTGGGAACACTTTAATGAGTGAAAGGGGAGGAACACATCAATTTCTGAACGAAGAAGAGGCAACTAAAAAGCAAGCTCAGTCAATATTCATGGCCAATTAAGAATTGTACTTTCAAACTGTTAAAAGTCTGGGAACATTCCAGTTACATCTACATTTCTAGAGTCAGAGGAATAACAACCTAGCACTTCTTCTGGAGTTTTGTTCTTTTTAAAACCCAAGGTTACTCATCCGCTTTAATCTCTATTTAGAAATCATCACCTACAACTGAGCAACTAGCTATGGTGCTCTAAAGCTATTAGCCAGTTTGTCCCAATCCAGATCAAATACAATGGACCCCAAACCAATCATAATTAGAGATTATAAAGCTCAGTGCTGAATTGCAGTTTTGCATGCTCTTATTCACTTGCCATTGCAATGTAGACAACACAAGCAAGCAATGTTTGTTCACCAGCTGTTACTATTTTTTTTTAACCTATGGTTCCCAAATGAATAACGCAAGTAGTTCAGTACACAATCCACTGTAAACATCCACAGCATAACCCCCAATTGATAAGAACCTGTGAAAGTCACAATGATTTCAAAGGCATCCAGTTTTCCAGTAATATTTTCAGTTTCCAGCTAATTACAATGAGGGACTTGATGATATTCCAGTGTTTTCAGTGAATTGACATGAGATTGCTTAGGATAAGATTCTATATATTGCACAAAAATTTATTACCCACAGAAATTTGAAAACTGTGCCAAATGTTTTTCAAATTTACATAAAATTCTGTATAAATGCTCCAGGTACAATATTATTCACAGTGGAAAACTGATTCACATAGCTCTCTTGAAATTTCATAAGCTCATACTTTTAATCATAAACAGAGAAGCAAAATATGTGCAATGTATTAGAAGAGTATCTAAAGATAGTCATTTTGGTTATATCTAGCCAGTCTCTAAGACAAAAAAACCAATTTTACCCAAAGAAATAAATAGCCTTTGTTTTGATAAAGCAACAGTTATTTCATTTCACATTCTTTCTCTATTCTTTAAGTTGGACTAAGAAAGGTCTTCATACAAGTTGAGGTGTCATTTTACATCTTTCCAGCTTTCTTTTTGGGGTGGACTTCAATTCGAAGAATGTTGGGGGTTGCTTCCATGACTCTAACAAGTAAGTTATCTATGTAGTCTTCCAGCTCTCGTACCTGGACATCTCGCTTGGCAAGAATATCTTTTTGTTTCAAGACCAGTTGGATCAGTTCATCATGAGTTAACTGAGCATACGCATAAGCAGGATTTGAACGGTCGTATTTCTGTAGGAAAGAAATACGGGAGGAAAGTCATTTCAATAGAAAGAGTTGTCATGAATACACTCAAAAATCAGAAAGCAGCTCAAACTTTTAGCTTCAGAGATCGAGCATGCACTTCAAAATTGCTTCAGTAATGCTTAAAAGCAACTGCTTTAAAAAAACACCACAAAAATGTAAAAATGCAACATTAGCAAGTACATTTATGAAGATCAAGATTTTAAGCCTTTCTAAGGCCATTTCTGGTTTTTGTTGCTCAAACCAGAAAAAAATCAAGACAATCTTCTTAATATATCACATGTAAATCATCCATTAAAATTGTCTCAATTGAGAAAACCAAGGTCTAATTTTTGTACAAAATCAAACTATTACAAACTTCATACACAGTCAATAACCATTGTATAATCCAATACCAAAATCTCTTATGTTGAAAGCCTTTAGAAGAGTTTCAAGTTTTCAGCATGTGCAATTCATACATTCTCCAATCAATCATATTTTGAAATGGATTATACTGACCTTCAACTATTGTCTTCATAAAAAAGTAGTTAAAACACAGAATACAAGCAGCACACATTTTAACTACAGCTACAAAATATTACACTGTGCTTTAACATGTTCTAATATTCAATTTTCATTTACTCTACTGTGAGAATTAACAGAAATTACAGAATCAGAGATTGTCCGTACATTTAAAAAATGTCTTAAGTACCTTCAGATTGATTTCAGTTTGATTATCCAGGATCTTAGTATTTATGCTCAAAGTTTTTGCAGATGGTTGGTTAGTTGTAGCATTCATTGGCTTCACAGGATGAAGTCTAAAAGAGATAACGTTTACAGTGAACAACATACAGATAAAGTCTGGATGTAACAAAGCATTGCACATATGAATCCTGCAAAGTCACTTTTTTCCTTATCTCTTACCTTCAAATTTAAAACAAACACTTTTGTATGGCTGGCATCTCCATATGATGGAACTACAAGTTGAAACAGTTATTAAATAACATGCTCAAATAAGAGTAAAAGTTTACTTAATACATTTATGTTCTGTCCTTCCTCCAATGCATTTATGCCAAAGTAGAGGATTTTCACTTTTACTATTTTATTTTCATGACAAATTAGATACATGACAAAATAATGGAAGTAAACCAGAAAATGTAGTGAGTATATCTCCAGGACTTATTGTTTCCCCATTCTGTTTATTAAAGTTGCAAATAAAGTTGGCTTTTCGCACCTTCTCATCAAGAAATCAAGGATGCAACAGCAGCTAATGCTTTTTATATTGGATCTCCCATACCCATCTTATCTTCTCACCTGAGTTTGGCAGAATTTCCACCAGGATTGGGATGTGTTTCAGAGGGTGAAACCCATGCCTGAAGCAGCTTCTTCCTGCCAGAGCTTTCCACTTTGGCATCCAATTCTTCCGCAGTAGCTTTTTTTGGAGATTCTGCTTTATTAAAGCCATGAGAATCAGACTGAAAAGAGCTAACAGAACAAGACTGAGAAGAATCAGACAGAGGGTAAACAGAAACAGGCTTAGTAGAAGACTCAGGACAATCACCCTGCCTATTTTTGTTAGAGTGTTCTCCATACTCCTTTTCTATGCCTGTTAGGTTATGATTTAGGTTTTTATGTACATTGTTGGTTGGATCTTTCAACAATCTGTTGGATGAATTGCCAAAATTACTCATTTTCATCAGACCAAATACAGTCTCTGCAATAGCTTTCTTAGTTGATGTCAGATCTGTCCTCTCAACAGAAGACCACAAGTTCATAAAGCCATCTTCATTTTTTGACAAATCTTCACTTAATGTCATACTTTCAGGATTCTGCTGATAATCACCTAATTGCTCATCATCTGAAGCTACTTCTGGAATAACAGGAAGAGTAATGGGCTTTACATTCAGCTCTCCGGGACCTGAAATCCCAAGTGATGTTCTCATTACGTGGTTAGAGTCATCCTTAATACTTTGAGATGGATCTGTATTACCACTATCATATATATGAGGAAGGACAGCCATTTCTGATGTTAATGAACAAATATGGCTTGGGTTTTCACTTAAGATTGAACTGTCTGAAGAAATCTCTTTGAGAACAGATGCATCTCCTTTTGGTTCATTAGTTACAGGTACACATTTTTTCATTTTCAAACCATTTCTTGGTGCTGGTTTTGGTGGTACAGTATGCATTTTGTCACTCAGTTCAGGAACTGACATTTTGGTTTCCAGAGGAATGAGGACTCTTGCAGTTGGTACTGGTGGCTCCTTTTTAGATAAGCCAGATTCAACTTCCTTCTCTAAAGGGTTCCCACTAGTATGAGCAGAAATTATGTCTTCTTCATAAGGCTTAGAGCCACAACTATTTTCTATGTTTAATTCAATTACCTGGCCGCTATTCTTTTCAAATGAATTTAGTGCTTCTTTATTTTTATTTACCTCAAATGTATCTTCATCTGCACCGTCATTATGACTACTTATTACATCCTCTTTCGATTCATCAAGGGCAAAGGCTACAGACTTTTTCAACTCATTTTCTTTAAAAGGCAGTACTATATGCACTTTGTCATCATGGGAGGCTTTTTCACTCACTCTAACTAGGTCAGAAGATTGTGGTGGAAGACTCTCAGAGAGAGAGCCAGAGAAATTGGATATAGTATCTATTTGATTAGTTAATTTTTCATTTTGAAACTTTTCTGAAGAAACATCATCAGTGTACTTGGAATGATCAATGTTTCCAGTTAAAGAAACAGAACTTATAGATGTGGGAGGACTTTTAATTCTTTCAGATTCCTGTTCTACTTTGATTACAAAGGGATCATGAATGTTAGAAAGCTGAGAAGGCATAGTATGAGTTTCAGTAATGGAAGCTGCAGAATGTGGAGAATATAAGGAAGAGGTTTCCATTTCCTGTGTCTGAGATTCTTGTCCCCATTTAGGAGTGAAGGGATTATTTTCACGGCCAGAAGTTGAAGGAAGGCAGGTAGAAACTGCAGAGCATTCCAAGTCTCTAGAATCCTGCATCCATTTTGTAGTGAAGGGATTATTAACAGAAACATTCTTTGAGCTATCAAACCTACCAACTTCCTGAGTTTTCTGTTCTGCATCAGATTTAGAAGTAAAAGGATTATTTTCATTATCTGAAGCATAGCAAATAGGAGGAAGAAGAACAGGAGGAAAAGAGGTGGCTTTGGTTTCATCCTCTGAAGACACGCCCAGTCTGTAAGAACAAAATAAAACCTGCATGTCAGTTGCAGATGCAACCTAAGACAAGCAGACATATTTTAGATAAAAGTTTAGAAAAATTGCTGTATGTTAGTAATAAGGAGGGACACAGGGTTTTAGTGCAGCACCCAAGCATGCTCTTTTATGTTGTGATACTTTTTAATGGAGTAAATGGAAAAGCAATAAACTTAGGAAAATATGTCTATATTACTTTGTTAATCTCAGATTAAACAGACTATGAGCAGCAAAGCCTTCAAATACATAAAGCAGCAAAGACACAAATGTTAGAAAGCATAACACTATCTTTGACCTTACAAAAGGTTATCTGTCTCTAAAATAGTTAAGTACAAAGTCATTTACAAGACATTGCACATAAGTTTTATGTGTGTGTGTGCGCACACACACACAAAACATAAAACAATGAACCTGAGTCAATAGTCCTCAGTATCTGTATTGACGTATTTTGATTAAAAATTTAGTTTGGAAACATGTGGACTTTACAAATATAATCAGCTTATACAACATAAAACAGCCGTTTTCTTCTCAAATAATTCCTCCAATTCCCTTCATGTTCCAACTGTAGAACTTCTATGAGGAACATTTCAACCTGGAGTGCAAGAATAGCAACCATTTTGTTTCTTCTCTTTTTAAAAAAACAAGATAGCCTGCAAAGGTCATGTTACTCTCCCTTTTCAAGACAGAGCCATGCATATCACCTGCAAAATGATCTGACTGCTAAATACCTGGATCAGATACACCCTAAAATTTATACCTGCCCCAGGTAAAGAATCAATCTTACTAAATGCATTATATGCTAATATATATGACTTTGAAACAGTATCCTCGATCCCATCCCACCCGAGATATCTATGGGGTTCTGGAAAGCTCTTAAGACTTGGCTCAGTTATCAAACCTGAAGTTATTTTTTTTTTAATACAACTTATATGCTGCCCATCTCCACTCTTCAAAGAGACTCTGGACAGCATATAATTCTTAATTTGTGAGTCTGTGCAGCCCTTCCATGTTATGGCTGCTTTTTTGTGTGGGCTATTACGTTTTGGTATTATGCTTTTAACTGTTCATTGTGTATTCCAATGTTATAAGCTGCCCAATTTTCTAAATTGGGCAGCCCTGACAAATAAGACGGTGATGAAACCATCTTTATATTAGCAAAAAATTAAGCGTCTCTCCTTACTAACCTGGGTTTGACAGGTTTCGTCTGAGAAGGTTTCACAGAAGCAGCATTCTTTTCTGGTTTCTCTCCTTCCACAATGTTCTCACTGAAAGGGTTTGTTGATGTCTTTGCAATTTCAACATCTGTGGCATTACTCTTAAGTGGACCAGGGCCCCTTTTGCCATCCACAGGGAGCTCAAAAGGGTTTGTCTCTTTTCTGGCAGATTCTTTTTCATTACGCTTCACTTCCTTCACCTTCAGAGAACTTTCAGTGTTCCCCATCTCCTCGCTAATTTTTGTTTCTTTTTTCCCTGTCACAAGAGACAGCAAGCCAGACTTCTTGTTCTCCTGTTTTTTGATCTCCTTAGTTTCTTTTGGAGTGTCTGAAACAAATGGAGTGTTGTTTTCTACCGAATCCCCACCAGCAAGCAATTTATATGATGGCAGAGTCATGGCTTTAAAGGATTCCAACGAAGATGACCCAGGTGGCAATTTATCAAGGGCCAACCTTGAGGAGTTTTCAAGCTCCTTGTCATGTTCGAAAGACAGGTTTTCCTGAGACAAAAACAGGCGTTTTCGCTGAGAAGAAGATGGAGATCCTTCTTTTGAAGTGAGGTCGCTCTTTGATTCATTTTCTTCCATGTAAACATGGCTGCCATTAATACACAGATTAGACCTGGAAACTGGGTCATTTTTGGATCTGAGGCCAAATAAAGAATGCATATCCTTCTTGGCACTGCCAGCAATTATTTGGTTTAACTGCTTGGAGTCTCCACTACCAGTTCTCTTATGGGTCATGACTGAAGGGGGACCAAGTATGTTATTGTTGGTTTTGATTGCAGAGGGCTCTGAAAAGAAAAAGTAACATTGCCATCAGAATTCAGTTAAGTACATAATTTCTGAAAATACGTATCTATACAAAATGAGGATATTTAGCAACAAGATATTTATGATTGGAGATTATTTAAAGCAGATTTAAAGTAATCAATGACATACATTATAGATCATCATGACAGCTCTATTTTCTCAAAGATATGGAGAACTCAAATTTTGATCAAAAAAGAAAATAAACTGCTTCTCTTAATGAAGAGGCTACTCACTCTCAGAGACTGTTGTCAAAGTATCATCATCTTCATCATCACTCCACTGTGACTGAAAATCACTGGGTCGAAGTCGAACTCTCTCCGAAACAGGCTGGAGTGTGGGTAGCACAGACATGGACTGGGAAATATTACTTTTATGCAAACCAGGTTTTGAGAACAGTGTCTTGAACTTTGATTTTTTCTTCTCCTTGTCGTTTAACTCTTCTTCGCTATCAGCTGGAGAGTGAGTAATGCTAGGAATAATTGCTGAAGCTGTGTCTGGCAATCCAATGCCTCTTTTCCCTTTTAATTTGTTTTTCAGCTTGCTAAAGGGAGTCCGAGGCTTATCCTTCATGGACAGATCAAACATACTGGCGGTCATGTTGCTCCTCATGAACTGGATATCCACCTCAATCTCGCCCCGCTCTTTTTCCTTCTTCCCTGGTTTGGAGTGAAGTTTGTACCATCTGTATACATAGAAATTGAAATCAGGAATTAGGAACAGGAGGACACTAATTCCAAAACGCTTTTTGCAGTTTTAGTCCAAATAAAAGAAGAATCAAATTCTCTATGACTAAGAAATGATGGAGCCTAGTGATACTGATCCAGCAAATGATAATGTAAAAAGAGAGAAAAAGAAATCACTCAAATTTGTTCCTCCAATGTGCTGCATTATTCTCAAAATTACAATTACAGATAGCTCTTTTATTTTAAAACTAATGTATCAATATCAGAAAAAAAGGGTTTCCATGCTTACATAGCTAGGAAGGGTGGATCTAAACTATCAGGCATAGATAGATATCGGGCAAAGAAACTCTTGAAAAATTCTGCTCATTATTCCTAAAAGATGTTCATAATAATTTAGTGTGAATTTAAGTACATGTTATTTATCCATTTATGTATAGTTCCATAAACAATAATTAGTTTTATCATTCCCATCTAAGGAGATTTTCAAACTGTTTATCAAAAGAGGAACATGTTTCTCTCCAAGTATTTAAAACCCTCTGATCAAAGTATAATGCATCCAGTCTTTTTTTATATAGAGGGTAGAAAGGAGAATTGAGACACTTAAACAGGATGAGTAAACTGAAGATGTATCTGCTGCTAAGTGAGTGCTTTCACTCTTAAGATACAAGAATATAATGGGGAAAAGTTTTGCTTTTAATAGGATTTTGAAACGCCCTAGTCTCTTGGTGGGTTTCTTGGTATGCAACAGTTTTGTAGTTTTAAATGACTACAATATAAAAACACAGTAAAGATCTGGCTGTTTCCCAAATTCTCTCAGTAAGATTTTAATATAATGGTAACTGCTGAAATGCCACAGTGATAGGCTTCTCTACTAAGATACAAGCCACCTTGGTTTCTCTAACCTTTTCATTCCCTCACAGGTACAACATGAACCAAGACAAGTACTGTAGTATAGTCTTGAATGGAACTGGATACAGCATAGGAGATAGCATGACTAGAAAGAAAGAAAAGAAGAAAGTTATTACCAGAAAAAGATTTCAGAAGCAGAAAGAGGAATCTATTTACAGCTAGTCCTTGACTTACAACCACAATTGGGAACACAATTTCCATTGCCAAGCAAGGTGATTATGAACTTTTTTGCCACTGTTGTTAAGCAAATCACTGAAATTGTTAAGTGAATCATTTGACCATTAAACAAATCTGGCTTCCCCATTGATTTTGATTGCCAAAAACTGGCTGGGAAGATCACAAATGGCAATCACGTGCCCCTGTGATGCAGCATTGCTGTAAATAATACCAGCTGCAAGAGCCTAAATTTTGATCACATGACCATGGCTGTGACAGTCATAAGTAGGAAGATGGGTCGTAAATCACTATTTCAAGTGCCATGGTAACTTTTGATGTTAAACCAATGGCTGTAAGTCAAGGACTACCAGTATTCATGCAATTTCTCTTTTAATTTAAAGTATTCCCATTTTATTATAAGAAAATTGCATGTGTTAAAAGTTTACATACCAAGCCTGGGAAAAGAACAAAACAGAGGAACAGAATGAGAAAAAGCACCAGATATAAAGCAATTGATTTTCCACGTTGTTTCCTACCTCCCTCTGAACATCAGGGAGATTGTGCAACTGCTCTTCAACTAGGTCATCTAAGTGATATGATTCTAAGTGGGACATTCCTTAGTTCAGAACCATGTCTGTTACCTGCAACATGGTTGTGTATTTGCCATCCCATAGGAAAAGTATATCAAAAACCACCCCCTTGGTACAAGCTGTCACTGTAAAAGGATACAATTTTCAAATGAAAAGATACCAACAGATTTAAAATAGATGATGCCATTATAGTCAATCAATTGCAGATGTAAAGGTGATCAAATGGGGAAAAATTAAGGAAATCAAACAGCTGTTTTCTTTTATAAAACCAATCCAATGGTTTAGCTGACATTGTGCTGCTGATTGTAGTAAAAAAGTTATGAACAGGACCTTTCCTTCAAACATTCTCTGGATGCTCTGGATCATGGTTGCACAAAGAATTCGAGACTGTCGGTGTAAACTTGGTAAGCCTGCTGGACTTGTTATAGTTCAGCGTTTACAAGAGAGCTGCCATTTATCAACTATACCTGATACGATTTTAAGAAAATGTTATCTTAATATATTGCAATTTACATTCCTAACATTGAAATATGAGCTCAGTCTAAAAACATTGCTGACCAAAGGATCATGATATTTTGTTCTAAAGTATTTTTTCCTTTACTCCCAAGACAAAACAGTGATACATTATCTACTATGCATGTATATATTTATATTAAATAGGTGGTTTTATTCAATAGTGATAGTAAATGAATAAATGGTTTTATTTAATGTAAATATGGTATTCAACTATTATTACTGGAATATAATTTCATTTATATTTAGTTGTTTTTTCAGACTGGAAGGATGGCAGAAAAAAGGACTAAGTTCTCCCTCCTAAGGTTAGAAGGTCAAAAGAAATTTTTTTGGCACAGTTAAGTCTGAGACATTTTCCAAAGGGCCATAGAATTACAACCAAATAATGCAGTCTTAATATTTAATATTTTACTTTTAAAGCATGCTTTTTACTACATGCAACTGTTTTGCAGCAGGAATCCTGACATAATAGGGAAATGCCTATTTTAAAATAACAAATGAATTCTTCAATAGCAGAACAATTTTTTTTAACAGACTAACTATGAGTCTGGAAGTTCTCTGCATTACTCCACAGAGGCTGTTTAAAAATAAACACAAATGGCCTTTACGACATTTAAACAATTATAAAAACATATGTAAAAATTAGGGGAAGTACTATAAACATGACTTTCAACAATGAAGATACAAGCTATCCATTTTACTACCACTTCCAGCTTGAAATTTGCAGAAAAAATATCTATTTATTTTATTAAATTCATAAAGGTAAAGGTTCCTGCACACATACATGCTAGTCATTTCCGGCTCGGGGGTGGGGTGGGGTGTGTGTGCTCATCTCAGTTACAAAGCCAAAGAGCCAGCGCTGTCCGAAGACGTCTCCGTGGTCATGAGGCCAGCATGACTAAATGCCAAAGGAGCAAAGAACGCTATTACCTTCCCACCAAAGGGGTCCCTATTTTTCTACTTGCATTTTCACATGCTTTCGAACTGCTAGGTTGGCAGAAGCTGGGACAAGTAACAGGAGCTTATGTTGTGCTAGGGATTCGAACTGTCGAACTTTCTGATTGACAAGCTCAGTGCCTTAACAAGTAGCAAAAACACTGAGTTATACCTGATGTAACAATGCACATTTGCTTTCAAAGCACATTCATTCTTACCACAAAGAATATACATACAATGTATGAAAAACTACTTATGGGAGGAAATAATTTTAACAAAAGGAAATATATCAAGAAATATGAGTTGAACAAATATAATAGGTTGAAACATAGTAAATGATACTGTATTAGTATGAATTACATTTTATTTTATTTTTTTAAATGTTCTGTTTACTAGTGTTTATCTGATGGTATTCTCATGTTTTTATCACAAGGTGGATACAGCAACAGGTATATATGTAAACTCATTTTTCCAACTTCTCTCTGAATTAGTAACATTCAAATTCTTATGTTACAAAATCAAGCAGGCTGTTTTGTGGGGCTGCTAAAATCCAATCAATCAGTAAATGGCTATAAGGAGATGCAGAAAACTCTGACTCATTCCTAGCATCTACTGACTATATTTTACCTGCCCCATTTTATAAAAGGAACACACCCAACACGAGTTTACAAATTGCCATATGAACATTTGAAAACATTCTCATCTTGATCCAAATGACACACCTACTGAAACCTTGCATTAACTCTAGAATTCCAGATTCCAGTATTTTCCTCCAAAGATAAATGTCTAACTCAATCTTTTATTAAATAGGATTATACTTTGGACTGAAACTTAAATCTTCATTATTTCAATAACTCCTAATTGTTGGTACCTTAATCCATTTCATTTGGATTATTGACCCTTCTTTCCCCTTAACCCCCAGTATCACATTACTAGTAATTAAAAGTATGTTATTTCAGTTAACAATGGATTTGGGGGGGGGGAAAGTTAATCTACAAAAATTCAAAGTTCACTGGTATGCCATCAAATCACTGGATTCTACTCATGCTCAACTGTCAATGTGTTTCCTAACTTAATTTTATACCAATATTCTATATTACTATATTTTCTGGCGATTTACAATTCTTTTTCAGTTCAAGATGTAATTTAAAAATGAAGCTTCTTTTATTCCACCACTGGCCCCAAATTTACAATTGTAAACATCATTCTCTGCTTAAGTTTTCATAATCAAGCAAATTCATCCTTGGCTCCAGAAGACACTTATTTCACTGAACTCTATTAGATTCTTAAAGGGCAGCTTTTGTTTGCAGTATCAAAAACCAATTTTACTGACAAAAAGTAATGGATATTTGCTTTGAAAAATGTAAAAAGAATGTAGCTGCATTTATACAGGTTAAATTTATCTTTAACTATTTATTAGTAGATCAACATCTATTAAACAGAAGCACCATGATGTACTATTAGCTGCTGAGTGAAAAATGAAAACAAGACTTGACCATTTTATACCTTCCTTGGGCATTTCTTGGAAGTATTATTGGGTTTTGTACATTGGCATTTATTTCTAGAAGTTGAATGGAGTCGCCATGGGTGAGATGGCAGCCATGTAAATTTTCTTAATAAATAAAAAATAAAGTACAATACTTGAAAACAGGATGTTGATTTTTTTTTCTTTCAAAAATAGGCTTCCCTTTTAATTAAAAGTCAGGACAGTCTCTATTAAAAGCACAAACTAGTGTGCTGGCTAGTCTCTAATTGTATCCAGCACAACTATTCCACCCCCTCCATTTAACTAAAATGAGTATTTTAACTGAAAGCACAAAACTAAACTAAAAATTTACCGAGCTGACCCACCCAAAACTTTTATGTTAAATATGAGCATGGCCTTTAAAATAACATTTTATTCTCCTAACAAAGGAACACTATCTGGATTATCAACTTTTGGGGGGCTCACACAATACACCTTTATCATGAACGGGTGGGTTCCCACAATACACAACAAAACATGTCCTACCGCAAGAAATTCCCTCCTTCCCCATTAAGGCTGCTTCATGCCAATTTCAGCCATATTCCCCGCATTTCAGGTGCACACCATATACACTGCCCCTGAAGGTGGAGGCTCCGTTTGTCTAAGAAATCCGTCATCTCACACCACACGTCTAATGTGCAATTATTTAGAGAATCAGCTCTCCAGATATGAGAGATCTAGAGGTCTCAAGATACTTGACAATGAGGTGTCCAGACAACTCGATCATCAGGTGAAGGGACGGGGTCAAAATATATAACTTCACATTTCTCTGGGAAGCAAAGGGGGTCGAAAAACAGCCCTTGGCCCCGACGGGCGCATCCCCCGCCCGGCTTCCTTCCTCACCGCGCAGGTAGACTGCCCCTGAGCCCGGAGGCTCCCCCCGCTTGCTCACCGGGTGCTGCGGCGGCCGCCTTCGCTCTGCAGCTCGCCGAGGCTGATCTCGGCGCGGCCCAAGAACTTGTCGAGGCCGAGCAGCGCGCGGTGGAGGACGCTCAGCTGCAGCACGGCGTTCGGCCCAGGCCCGCCGGCCCCGCCTAGGCCTCGTCGGGGCAGCGAGGGCAACTCGAAGGTGGCCTCCTCCCGCCACACGGGCGAGCCGAGGCAGCGCTCGGCCACCGAGGTAGCGAACTTCTCCTTGCCCAGCGCCATGACGGCGTAAGCATCGCTGCCGCTACCACCGCCGCCGCCCTTGGCTTTGGAGCGCAGCCCCCGTGCCTGGAGGACCGTCACTTGGACGTGCGTCGGGGCCCAGCGCGGGGCCGGAGAACTCGGGGAGCCCGGCAGCGACATAGCGGTGGCTCCGTCCGCCTCAGCAGCGCATCCGTAAAACCGGCGACAGCTCCGCCTTCTCGCGCGGCCAGACTGAGCAACCGGCACCGCGGAGACGCCGATCACCAGCTTCCTAGTCTCGCGAGACGCTACGCCCCGCCCCCTTCCGAAAGGAAAACGCTGGAGCGCTCTCCAGAGCCGCGCCAGATCCCGCGAGATCCGTCGGGGAAAGAGGCGTGGCTTCCAGCGCAGTTTGTTTACCCAGAGTTTGTTTACCCAGGCGGGGGCGGTAGACCGGTACCTCCTTCGTGGTTTGGTTTGGAGCAGTTCCCATGAGCAAGGACGGCAGTGAGGATATTGCAAAATATGCGGAAGGCCATCAGTTGCTCTGCCTTTATTTGCACATAGCTGCGGTGCAGATAAAGGCTTCGGGGGAGGTGGGGGAGGAGGACTCGACTGAAAAGGGACAAATCTGAAGAGGTTTATAAGGATTAAAAATTGTTTATGCATATACCTTTGCTTTAAAAAGGGAAATTCAAGAGCAAGGACAAGGACAACTGTTCCAATAAAAATATCTAAAATCCAGCAAGTCAATTTGTATAAAAAAGACTAAAGGACATATGTGGGGTCCTTGGTGCTCTTTGAGTTTGGGGGTTTTCTTGCAGATGTTTCATTACCAAAGTAGATAACAATGCTATTCTAGTTCCGTATTTTTCACAAGGATGCAAATAAAAGACTCCTTTGTAATGAATGGTCACATATACATCAATTCTACCAAATTGATAGCTTTCCATTGCTTTTTATTTTAAAATTGGCATGTCTATAGCTTATTAAATATAAATCTATGTTTTCACCTTTGAATCCCCTGTCTGTAATTGGTTGCTGGATACTATTGATTGGGGTTTTAAAAAAAACTGATTTTATAAATTGCAGTATATGAAATACACACTGCATTCAACTTACCAAACAGATAAACCACATGATGACTTGGCATCAGTTGTAAATGTGCCATGTTGGGATGCTGACAACATGCCCAGAAATTGAGACAAACATCAACGCCTGCATAGCTGTGGCTACTAGTTTGGGGAGCAAACTATGGACAACAATGAGATCTGAAAAGAGGTTGATTTTTTTTTAGCCTTTCCTGCCATTTCCTGGCTGAGTTTTTGAAGTAGCTCAAAAAGCTGGCAAAAATTCTGACACTAAAGTTTCTTGAATAGCTTCTTTATATGGAGAAAGAATTTCTGCTGATTTACTATTCATTTCTGTGTTAGTGAAGACTCACAACAGGAAAAAGGGGGGGGGAAACCTTGGTATTTCTTTTCTGAAACTAATGAGCCAATTTGTTTTAGAGTATGTGCAGAGTTTCTTCCTGAGGGTGAGTAAACATGGCCCTGTCCACAAGCTAGTAGTTAGATAATAATAGTTTCACCTCAGAAGGGTGTAGTAGTTTTCCACTGTAGGCAATCTGAATGCATTCAAGCCTGAATGTCTTGCATTTCCTTCTTTTAGAAATGACTTAATGCATACAGACTCCACCCTGCATTGCGACATTTAGAAGCCTATCTAAGAAGTTAGTGCTTCCCAAACCTGGGTAAATCACCCCAAAATAGATTAACATGTTTTTTCCTTTAGACAACACATGAACTCATTACCCAATCCCAACAGGGACACTTAAATAAGAACTTTTTGATAAGTGGTAAAAAGGACTTTCTGATAAGCTATTTCTGTGCAATTTGAGGGTAAATTTTGCCCAGTAAGAACTGAGAAGATCTTAGTCTTTATAATCCCTGACCTATGATTACAGTGGATGTAACATTTTATTGAGGTATATTAAATTTGAAAATTTTGCTGATATGAGGTAATCTAATTTAGGGACTAAAACTCACCAATTGACCATTGAAGCCCAGTATAGTTTTTATTTCTGCAACTGAAGCATGCAAAAGTATGTATATTTACATGAAAATAAATATTGTGGTATAACTCTGAGAAGTAAAGGCCACACAGTAATCCAACCAGAGGTGGTATTCAGCAGGTTCTGACCAGTTCTGGACAACCGGTAGCAGGAATTTTGAGTAATTCAGAGAACCAGCAAATACCACCTCTGACTGGCCCCGCCCACATCTATTCTCTGCCTCCTGAGTCCCAGCTGATCGGCTGGGTCTTCTTTTGTTGCCCTGAACAGGAGAACAGAGCTGGAAAGCAGGTTAGTGGGGTGGGGAGGGAATGGGGATTTTGCTGTAACCTTCCCCCTGGAGTGAGGAAGGAATGGGATTTTGCAGTAACCTTCCCCCTGGAGTGAGGAGGGAATGGGATTTTGCAGTAACCTTCCCCCTGGAGTGGGGAGGGAATGGGATTTTGCAGTAACCTTCCCCCTGGAGTGGGGAGGGAATGGAGATTTACAGTATTCTTCCCCTGACACACCCACCAAGCCATGCCCACAGAACCAGTAGTAAAAAAAAATTGAATCCCATCACTGAGTCCAATGACTGGTGGCTGTGAAGTTTTGGATGGGATGAAACAAGTTATAACCTAAGAAGATGAAGCTGCTATTTCTTATTTGAAGTCTCCAGTGTTGTTTCTGGGTAGGGTATACTTGAGGAAGCACATCAGACATTTCAAAATCACAGGGTCCCAGCAACTGTTAGATGGGCCAATGGAGGTTGTAGCCATCAGGATCTTTTCCCAACTTAGTTTGGTGCACTAGTTGTGGTCCTAACTGAAGCAAGAGGTCTTAGAATCATAGGGCTGGAAGGGTTTTGCTTTTCTTCTTGTCCAACCTCCTGCCCAAGACAGGAGACCTTACACCATCCTGGACAATGGTTGTCCAATCTTTTCTTGAAAACCACAGGTGATGGAGCTCCCGCAACTCCAGGAGGCAAGCTGTATCATGCCTTCATCACTACTCATCAGTCTACTGTGATGTGTTCCACATGGGCTTGGCTTTGAAGAGGCTTTGAAAGCTTCCCTGAATTCAGTGGCCTGCTATTGGTAGGTAGATAGTCACCAACATGATCCTATCAGTCCTGCCCTCCAAATCCTGGGCTGTCTTTCTATTACTTTCAATGCAATTCAAAATCCTTGTTCTCAATCCTTTCAAGCCATGCTTGGCTTGGCTCTAAAGTGATTGCAGGAATTCTTACCTGCTTCAATATATTTTAATATATAATTTTCACTAAAACCTTTAAAAAGGAAGATAAAAGCAAGTACAAAGTAATACAAAGTAAGAAGGAAAAAGAAAGGAATCGGAGAGAAAGCTAAAAGTGCAAGAAAAGAAAAAAGAGAAAAAAATTTAGAAAAGAAAGAAAAAAGTAGTTTCCAATATACTTCGCGGCAGTTATAAATACAATTATATTTTAATCCTGGTGGCACAGTGGTTAAAATGCAGTATTGCATGCTAACTCTGCCCACGGTATGGAATTCGATCCTGATGGGCTCAAAGTTGAGTCAGCCTTCCATCCTTCTGAGATTAGTAAAATAAGGACGCAGATTGTTGGGGACTATATGCTGACTTAGAAATCATTCAGAACGTGCTGTAAAGCACTGTGGGGCAGTATATAAGTCTAAGTGCTATTGCTATTATTTTTCTCTCTCTAAAGTTACATCATGATTCTCTTCTTTCTATAATCTATCCTATCTAATCATCAAAGCCATTCTGTATTTTTTTTTCATTTTCCATGGGGGTTTCTATTCACACTTACCTGCTTTAATTTTGATACTCCTGATTCAAATTGCAGGATTGTTTCACCTTCGGGACAACTATATGATCGTATTTATATTTTTATTCTAGATGCTTACTGTGTTTCTGTTGATTTGAACTGCTGAGAACAGTCTGATTACAGCAGAGTATTCCAGTTAAATAAATGAATAAATATTATGACATGTAAATTCAACTTTATTTGAACCATCAGTCATCTTCTCCATTTTTCTCCAGAGGTTGTATTAATTACAAAAAATAGAACACAAAGAATTCTTACCAGACATGTCAGCTACTTAGACTACAGTTTAACAGTAAATCTACTTCATTGTCTTTTTAGATCATTCTATTGTATTGGTTAGTTTTATTTATCCATTGGAGAGTTTAGTAGCAGCAGTACAATTTTATTTATAGGACTTAGAGCTATAATATTTTATATCATGATGTTACTAATATTAAATTTTACTTACTGCTGAAGTTGTTGTAATCATTTGTATTGGAATTGAGTTTATATCATTTTACCCTGGTGTTTGATGGAAATAATGATTTGTCAAAGCTGTCTTCCCAAAATCGTAAATTTAATCATCCTTTTTAGCTAAAAGCCTAATTATTTACTCATCATTTTTAGCTAAAAGCCTAATTATTTACAGCTCTGAATCTGTCACTGCTATATGTATATAAAAAGGGATTTTTATATATGAAGTTGCATACAGAGCTTTCTTCAGCTAAATGGAAAGTCTTTCTCATAACCTGGGTTACTTAGACAAGACCTTTCTTGAGGAAATTTCACAATAGTTAATGTTGTGTCTAAAGATTTGGATCAGACCATCTGCTGCTGATTTCTCCCACACAATGTGGAAGGCATGGTTGTGGCTGTCCACATTTTGCCGAGCAAAGTTCAGATTGTAAAAGATTCTCAAGCATAAATTATGTGCTTATAGTTTTGCTACAGCCCATCCTTAGTCAAAGCTGAGAAATGCTACAGCAGAATGGCAATTATTAATTAATTATTAAGGGGCGTGCCTAAGTGCACCATCGTGCCTACTGTCCCTGTCCTATTGTCCCCATTTATTCGTACTTATTTCCAGGGGTGGGATTCAGGTTTTTTAACAACCAGTTCTGTGGGTGTGGCTTAGTTGGTGGGTGTGGTTTGGTGGTCATGTGACTGGGTGGGCATGGCCAACTCAACATCACTCATGTCAAGGGGCAATTCTCCTTGCCTAGCCTCTCATGACAGTGGGGATGCTGCAATGGTCATAAGTGTGAAAAATGGTCATAAGTCACTTTTTTCAGTGCCATTGTAATTTTGGTCACTAAATGAACTGTTGTAAGTCAAGAATACAAAAATACAAAAAGCTTCTTTGCTTGCAAAAAGCTGCCCTAAATACCAATCATCAGAATAAAAATACTGCAAGTCAGAGT